AAAATAACCTAGTATAATGTGCATGCATGACATAGAAACAGAACTGTCATATTTGAAGCCAACTTGAATTTATATTGTCATTATGGACAGATGTCAAAAAATAACCTTGTATAATGTGCATGCATGACATAGAAACAGAACTGTCATATTTGTTGCCAACTTGAATTTCCAAGTCGAATAACGAGAATTAATGTATATTTACCATAAGTCTTAATCAGAAACTTGAAAGACTTGATATTATTATTGACATTGACAAATGACATATTTGACACAGGGAAATTGACAATTAAATTTGACGTTCCAACTGTCAAGCAATTTACAGTTGTAAATAATATAGTAAAACGTTTTCTATAAAAATAAAGTTTAAGCAATCAAATTGCGAAGATCATAAACAATATTATATAAGTCGAAAAGAGCGTATTTTTCTGAACTTCGTAAGTGAATCCTGACTTTCTACCATATAAAACTACGTTAAGCTTTGGAAATAAAAGAGAAAATTGAAAAGTTGTTTCTTTATAATCGCAAAGCTCGCAGGAAAGCAAATTACAGAAATGTTTTTGTTTTATTTAGTTTAGTTTCATGCACCGCTTAACAAACCAATTTCCAAGTCGAATAATGAGAATTAATGTATATTTACCATAAGTCTTAATCAGAAACTTGAAAGACTTGATATTATTATTATTGACATATGACATATTTGACATATTTGACATATTTGACATATTTGACATATTTGACATATTTGACATATTTGACATATTTGACATATTTGACACAGGGCAATTGACAATTAAATTTGACGTTCCAACTGTCAAGCAATTTACAGTTGTAAATTATATAGCAAAATGTTTTCTATAAAAATAAAGTTTAAATGAAAACGAAAACCAATTCAATAAATTTATACGTGAAGCAATCAAATTGTGAAGATCATAAACAATATTATATAAGTCGAAAAGAGCGTATTTTTCTGAACTTCGTAAGTGAATCCTGACTTTCTACCATATAAAACTACGTTAAGCTTTGGAAATAAAAGAGAAAATTGAAAAGTTCTTTCTTTATAATCCGCAATCGATTAAGTGGAGAAGATCAACAGATGAGACGTTGCTCGTGATTCGAACGATTCTACAGAGATCACTTTCTTGCAGGTATATATACAAACTCACACAGAGATTCATCTAAATCCGGTGTGAGTGAGATATACGAAATGCGCGTAAAACCGTTAGACAAGCTTTGCGGATTTCCACCCTCTCCTTTGAAGAAATACAAGAAGCACTGCTTAGATGGATAAATCAGAATCAGGCAATAAATCTAAACAGACCGCGATGTCGCTACGCTTTCCTTCATTTGATATATCAACAACAACATCATCTCCATGGAAACGCATCCAGTTGCTTGGCAAACATCTTAGAATCGTGCTCTGAATTCTACACGAATATATTCTCAGTTCAAAATTGCTCAACTCTTTCTACAACAATAGAAACGAGCTGTCAAATTTAACTGTCAAATTACTTGTTTATTGAAACAGCTTTAACAATTAAAATATTTGACAATTGATCAAACTATTCATAGTTGCATAATTTGAAAAACGAAGATATTCGTTAAAGCTACAAGGTATATCTTTTTGCATCTGATGAGTGAACAAACTCATTGCCACGGAAACGAATCCCGGTTGCCTGGAAACTAAACATCAAACGCGATCGGAAGATGTTCGCTACTTCGTGCTGGAGGCGAAACGAAATTAGAAATCCGCCGCGCGTCTGAATGAATTATTTGCCGACGATTTCACCTGAGCAGTCAAACGCGAAGTCAATAGCTGAGGCAACCCCACTTTTTTTCTACGCTTTTCTTGCCCTTTCGCCTCCAACGAAGCCGAAGGATTAGAGAGAAGCGGCGTCTAATAATAACGAGAAGAAGTTGTCGTCTGGAAACCGTCAGATAAGTATACATCTGTAATTCCGGTACGTTTATTATACCATCATTTCCCACCAGCGGATTTTCTCTTTTTTTTTTATATTTTAGCCAGAATATCGATGATACCCGAAAATATTTTTTTTTACTCGTTTCATCCGATATTATAATAAAGGGAGAAAAGTGTCGTGCTTGTTTTTTTCACTTCTTTCTCTCGTTCAGTATTCTTCCTCGTTTTCTGCACAAGGGAAAAACTTTTTAATTAGCATTCGCAATCGAGGCTCGCTCCGCTGCTCGCGAATGAAACGGACTTGAATGCCACGCATCATTTGATTCGCATAATAGAAGGCCAGGGACGCAGTGGAAGGAAAAGGTTGTTTCAAAACACACACAGAATGATAGCTCTGACTCACTGTTTCATAACATAGACAATATTTATCTAATTACAAGATGGCAGCATCAATTCTAATATGTAAAATGTCAATTTTGACAGATGCATTTGATATAGTTGCTAAATGTAATAGAGATGGCGTAAGTGAATTTAGGAAATAAACTTACCTTGAGGAAGAAGTCCGGCTTCGATGAGACGAGCCTCCATGAGCAACTTAGGTAACAGAAGACAGAAGGCAATGACTATATGGAGGAAGGCGCCTGTTGGTCCACCGTTCCTGTAGACGCCGCAGCCTCCGTCGTCGCCGAGGGCGTCCTTAGGTCGCTCTCGGCTGCACGTGCTCAGCTGCCTTCCCAACTTGAAGCCGTCGTTCGCCAAATTCCCAATCTGAAAAACGAGCAACTTAAAATTTCGAGACAAACGTAAAATAGCTTCGTTTGCGAATGGTACGTAGAGATAAGGACACGCAGGGAGAATGAGAAAAATGTTTTCGAGGGCAGCGAGAATGGAGAGGCTGCAGGGCCTAATGGATCGTATGATTAATAGAGGAGATATTGCTAAGAAAGTGCTGTAGCGCACGAAAACGAAAGCTTTATTGGGCGTGAGTTGCCCATAAAAAAAAGGTTCAAGTGAAAAGTGATGGTTGTGTGATTTCTGATTAACCGTTATTTTTCCCTCATACATCATTAACTAAAGCAATAACAAATGATGGCGACATCTGTGATTTAAAAATGAATTAGATTTGACAGTTTGAATTGTCAATTTTAATGATAATATTTCAGTAATACTGTACACCAGTGATTCCCAATGTGGTCTATATCGACCCCCAAGGGTCTATGACAACCTGCAAGGGGTCTACGTCAGCGAAAAAAAAAATTGGGGTCCATGAAATGAAAATGGGGGTCCACAATGGGGGAAATTCCGACTGTATCGAAACACCGACATTCGAAATCCCGACAAAAAAAAGGTTCAAGTGAAAAGTGATGGTTGTGTGATTCCTGATTAACCGTTATTTTTCTCTCATACATCATTAACTAAAGCAATAACAAATGGTGGCGACATCTGTGATATAAAAATGAATTAGATTTGATAGTTTGAATTGTCAATTTTAATGATAATATTTCAGTAATACTGTACACCAGTGATTCCCAAAGTGGTCTATATCGACCCCCAGGGGTCTATGACAACCTGCAAGGGTCTACGTCAGCGAAAAAAAAAATTTGGGGGTCCATGAAATGAAAATGGGGGTCCACAATGGGGGAAATTCCGACTGTATCGAAACACCGACATTCGAAATCCCGACTATATCAAAATCCCGACAAAAAAAAGGTTCAAGTGAAAAGTGATGGTTGTGTGATTCCTGATTAACCGTTATTTTTCCCTCATACATCATTAACTAAAGCAATAACAAATGATGGCGACATCTGTGATATAAAAGTGAATTAGATTTGACAGTTTGATTTGTCAATTTTAATGATAATATTTCAGTAATACTGTAAACCAGTGATTCCCAATGTGGTCTATATCGACCCCCAGGGGTCTATGACAACCTGCAAGGGGTCTACGTCAGCGAAAAAAAAATTTGGGGGTCCATGAAATAAAAATGGGGATCCACAATGGGGGAAATTCCGACTGTATCGAAACACCGACATTCGAAATCCCGACAAAAAAAGGTTCAAGTGAAAAGTGATGGTTGTGTGATTCCTGATTAACCGTTATTTTTCCCTCATACATCATTAACTAAAGCAATAACAAATGATGGCGACATCTGTGATATAAAAATGAATTAGATTTGACAGTTTGAATTGTCAATTTTAATGATAATATTTCAGTAATACAGTGATTCCCAAAGTGGTCTATATCGACCGACAGGGGTCTATGACAACCTGCAAGGGGTCTACGTAAGCAAAAGAAAAATTTGGGGTCCATGAAATGAAAATGGGGGTCCACAATGAGGGAAATTCCGACTGTATCGAAACACCGACATTCGAAATCCCGTCGATCATTTACAATAAAAGACACTGTCGGGATTTCGATTAGTCGGAATTTTGATACAGTCCGGATTATGGTTGTCGGGATTTCGAATGT